CCAAATATCGGAAGACAGTTAATGGACCAAATCGAGATATATTCGCTGGCGATCTCGTGGCATCGAAAGGATACCGAGATCGTGCCAGGATACAAGCTTGGTTACAGAACGTAACTGAATTCGCGCGAAGTCACAATCAAAGTGTAAGAATAAGAATCGAAGCACAATATAGCTGTCATTAGAACAGTCAAACAAAAGCACATTAAAACAAGCACTGGTACAGTTGGTTGTAACAATAATTGCTTTTATTAAACCAGTCGTGTTCCCGAGATAAATGTGAGTCACTACACACTCATAGAGGACGGCTTTCATGCTTCTGTCAGGCAATTAAGTAGAGCCCTTATTTATACTGGCTTTTCAGTATTTGCATTAATGCCATAATATTAATTCTGTAAACTAAAACTTTAGGGATATAATAGTGCCTCAAAATACATGCGAACTTGTAACTTAGTAAACGTTCGTTCGCCCACAGCTACACCATTCATTCATCAAAATTTTCCATCTTATATATATTCCAAACCTCACGTTCTAAACTTTATAGTTTCAATGCTACATGATTTTATTCCTTCAACACTGAATAATCCACTTTCATAATCATTCAAAGAAGACACATATTTTATTGAGTCTTCAGTCAAACTACACAACATACTGTTCCCTTTTTACATTTTAGATATTACAAGACTCCTTCCCCGCATTTGACCTCAGCTGTCCCTTCGTCATTCGCATAGATCCCTCTTTGTTACACTTGGTAACTCATTTCCCTGTTGATCCTTTAACTGTAATCAATCCTAGAGAAAGCATTTAATTTGAGCTTAATCTATCAGTTAAGCGTGCCTTAATATGCATCATTGCTAAAAACTAGGTCTTGTTGTCCAAATATAGTTATTTTTCCTTCCGTTTGAATTTTATCGCTTTCCTTTTCCAGCACTACGTTCGCTACACTCAGGTATGAAATTTCCACCTAAATCTGAACAATATACCTAACATACTCGTTCGGCAATGTCACAGCTCAAATAGGTACCATATTTTTGTCACTTTATGGTGACGACAAACTTACTAAACAGCTTTGTTGCCTAAATCTATCTAATGAGCAGCTAATAAACCTCAATGAACTTTCTATCTCCAAAGTTTTTCGAAGTGGTGACATAATCTTTCTAAATGACCCGACTGGAGCATTAACCTTACTGTTAACATTTTTGCATTATCGACGACGCCTGTAAAAATAGTGTGTGCCTACTGTCAGAAGTAGTTCACTTGTATAGTTAAGCATTTCGAATCCCCGTTCGACATCAAGTAAGAAAGTTGTGTAGCGGAAAGATCGTATCAATACTGTTAATCGATCAAGACAGTTCTTGTTCGTTTGTATCGTGATACAGTTCACATTTTTGAACAACAATCATCCAAAGCTTGCCCTAACTGCCGTTTCTTTGGCTTCTTACATCGTGGTTGTTTATTTGCAGCAGCTGCGTCTGTTGTTTAAATGTGTTAATTGTCGAGTTCATAGATTACGACCACCGAAATACTCATATTACCTCAAGCCGCTTAATCCTTCAAATAACAAAAAAGCTATATCATAAATGATACTGGGAGTACTCGTTAGCTGTTATTCTTAGTCTCTGTTACCTTCTGGTCATTTCATTGCTGTGAGGTCACTACTACCAGATAAAAGCCTTCATAACATCGAAACGGAATTGTATGGTAGTCGACTAGTGATCTGAGTCAATAAACTTCATCCAAACCCAAGCTTCAAATCAATTTTCACCGGCTAACTTCATGTCTATTGCCCATAGGTCGATTGTGTTCAGAATGTTTCCTAATGTTACTAATAATCTTTTTTTCGCCTAGACTATCTATCGTTAAGCCAATCTAACATAACTAAAATTACCGTTTGATTTACCATTTCATTTACTACATAGGATTTTTATAGAACTCTGTAAGGTATTATTGAACAAAATGACAAAGTAGTTATATTGAAATGAAAGTGTTTTGTCAAACTTAGTGTATCATTGAAGCTATAAAATATATGTTTTAATTGCTGGTGATGACGTATTTCTGCTTTTACCTGCACTAGTGGACGTCTTCTGTGTATTATATGCCGGATCTGGATAGTGACATTCTTCAAACATTAAAATATGCCTTCAATTTTTTTATTTTAAATCACAAACCGGCCTAATTTAGACAATGACCGAAGACCTGAAAGCACTGGACGGCCGTCTTGTCCTAATATGAACAGTGCTTGAGAAACATCCTCATCAAAGACAATAGGTAGCCGCTCACTATCGTGGTTTGATTAAAGTCAAACCATAAAACCACTGATTCTCCTGGCAGTGGTCTACAAATTAGGTCTACACGCACAAGAGTCCTGAATTCGATTCCCGGCTTCAGAGTCATGAAGGCGTATTGCTGAGTTGTCCCATAATCGAACGAAACGGTCAACTAGTTTTTTCAAGTTTTCAATAGTTGTCTAACCTTCATCGGCTCGTGATTTCAACAACACTCAAAAATCTCCTCAATCTTATGTTCATGATCATATTTTTCTGTTAACCTTTTGTCAATCGAATTTATTATTTTAGTAAGTGTTGGATCACAGTTGGTACTTATCATAAACAAACTTTCACATTTCGTATCAGTTTTTATCTTTTACCTACCATTGTATTAATAGTTCTTGGATCAATAAGCTCAGAACCTCAATCACATGTCCCCAGATCTCTGGCCTTCTTATACACTAACAAATCAGTGACAAACCAAATAGAAGGGTAGGTTATTTAAGACCTAAAATACTCTATTTAGTTGTAAATACTCACGCCTCTACCATCGTAAACTTGTACATTGTCAATTCAAATGTCTCTTCAAGAAAACTGAGCAATAGAGTAAAATCATATCGTTATGCTATCAAGTTTCTGATACAAATACTGAGTAACGTTAAGGACACCTAGATTAAAAGCAACAAATCGAATATATCCTTCAATTCTACCACATTACTGAACACTTGAATCAAATCTGAGAAATGTAATTCACTTATCTTCTCATCAATGATAGATCTTTCAAAAAACACAGATCTGATGTCAGAAAATGAAAAAGCTTACCAGCACAAAATGTTTTCCTCTCACAAAAGAAGTTTAAGATAAAAGGTAGGTCAGTGCAATTTCTGATATTCAAATTATTAGGAGAAACATTCATGCAGTTGTTGGGAACGGTTATTTTGCCAGTGATCAGTGAGAAAATTTGACTGTGCTTTGCAGACGTTACGTTTGTGGACATCAAAAAAGACAAATTAATTTGTATTCAAAATTCTATGAACAATTTTTAATGTCATCAAATTTTACAATTGAAAAATAAATAAAAGATTAGTCTGTCATCATTAATTGTGTAAACAGACTGTGAACTCAAGAGGATCAAAAACCAATCCAAACAAAATAACTGATGATAATAACAACTAAAAACTCACAAAATCAGTTATATATAAATGTTATTCGAAAGATCTTAGACATAGTATTGACGGTCTGATATGTGAATAATGTGTAAGTATAGTAAATGCCACTAACGTCTAACCGATTAGATGTCATATGAATATTACTTTACCGTAAGATAATATGCACTTGTTATTGCTTTACTTGGATCTACCCATTGATGTTTAGGACTGCAATTAATCAATCTCTTATTGACATATGTGCATACTGTGCGTATTGCCTCGATACTGCCTTAATTTACAAGCATTATAAGCAAAGATGGATAGGGGCTAGCAGTGGAACTCAGGACGTGTGTTTCATATTATTTGAGGCTCGTCAGCTGGATGCACCTGCATCTCAGAGTTGATGTTCACTGATCGATTGCAGTCCTGAACATCAATGGTTAGATTCAAGTAAAACAATACCAAGTTAATTAAACTTCACCCCATTGCACAAGCAAGTGCCTATCAGGATTCAGGAGCTAAGTGGACAACGCGCTGGCGTTTGAAGTGGGTGGTACTGGGTTCGAGTCCCAGAGTGGACATCAACTCGGAGATACAGGTGAATCCAGCTGACGCGTCCCAAATAGGTCGAGACGCACATCATGGATTCCACTGCTAGCCACTATCCATCTTTGCTTATAAGATAATATGGTTTGCATATTGTGACATGAGTTACTGTTTATTTACTTCACACACACACACACACATACACAATGCAAACTACTTAAATGATCATCTATATATGACGTCTATGTTTTACACCCACTGACAATTTTAAGAATCGTTTTTTTAATTTTCCAGAATGAAAGTAAAACAAAAGAGATTACTTATATGTATTTCATTTGTTTATTATAAACTATTTTTCACTAGGTAGAACACAAAAAGTTTTATATTTAACATAATGAAATTGAATAAGATGTATTTGTTTTATTAATCGTATCAATATATTTCTTTTATTTAATCCAAATTATTCTGTAATCTAACATTGCTGTAGTAAAAGAAAATACAATAATAAGTGAATACAGATTATTATTTATCAAGTAGTTATGCAAATTGGCGATAATACGGATTAGTAAGAGAGTAAAATAAACAAAGAATAAATAACTTTTATTTATGAAATAAACCCTCCTATCTAAATAATAGTAATGATAATTATAAGCAAGTTTTCGCTGTTGATCAGGTTTGAGATTTATTCCTAAAATTATATGGCAAAGCTGTGATCGATAATCTCTAACCATTTTGGGAATGAGACTAGGTAATAAGTACTACTGAGGTTCGACTTCATGATCTAAGGCTTTACTGTTTATCTTTAAACTAAAAAATCTTAAGTTAGATCCTATAGATAAGACGGTTATGTAAAATAACATAATGGAGTGAAATAATACCTTATCAATTTAGGTGTTTGACCCAATCAGTAAATCGTTAGTTAGTGAAATATTGCAAAATTAACAACCAGAAGTGGTTAAATGTAATGTCATTGCATGAAAAATATGCAAACGCTTATAAATTCTAACTTTCATTCCAAGTGAATAGCGATAAACAAAGAACACTAAAACATAATTCGACTCACTCTGCACACTTCATTACACGGTGGACACTGGACAAAACCTTTGATCAATCCTAAATTGCCTTGTACGTTTAAAGCCACTGTTCCTCCCTGTTTTGGACACGAAATAGTATTCGGTCCTATCATAATCGCTAATCCATTACCACATCGGTACTGTAGTTTAGTAGTAAAACATTTAAAGGAAGTGTAAATATTAAAATCTCAATGATTGCCTAGTAAACGAACACCCACTTATTATTCAACATATACACTTGATACAAAGTTTATTCCCTCCACTTCATGAAAGAATATTGGTACCACCATATTTATAGTGATAACTTCGAAAATATATGCATTCAATTTTTCGATGCATTTGAATTTGTGCCTACCTTGTAAAATAACGAGGTGGTATGTTTCGATGTACATAATGAGGTGCAATAAATTTTTGACTTTATCATCTCGAAACTTTTTATTTAAAACCTGATAACTACTATTCACATTAAGGATAATTTCATTCTCTGTGACAAAATGTAGTCGTGATATGACACTTAAGAAGATAATAAGAGCAAACCTGATTAAACCGACAAAAAAACATCGAGTTAAAGAAGTCTGTTGTGTCACAGAAGAGAAATAAAGGCATTCTAATAAGGAAATATCTTTTTCCTACACATAGTTCCCTTTACCATCTTAAAGAGAGCAAGAAGGAAGATTGGTTCACTAATCTCCGTTTTTATTTCCTTTCTATTATTTTACTTACTTCAGCTCTGCAATCGTATTTACATTTAGTTTATTTACTGAAAACAGTGGTAAACTAGAAGAATATTATATAATTTTAAAGAACTAAGGTGATATCATGCCATAAATAGTTTACATAAATCAGTTATTGAGTGGTAGTTACGTAATAATCAGAAAGCTAGTGAGAAATGCTAAGGTGAAGATGGTTTGTGAGTGAGTGAGTGAGTGGGTGAGTGAGTGAGTGAGTGAGTGAGTGAGTGAGTGAGTGAGTGAGTGAGTGAGTGAGTGAGTGAGTGAGTGAGTGAGTGAGTGAGTGAGTGAGTGAGTGAGTGAGTGAGTGAGTGAGTGAGTGAGTGAGTGAGTGAGTGAGTGAGTGAGTGAGTGAGTGAGTGAGTGAGTGAGTGAGTGAGTGAGTGAGTGAAAAACACATCTTTCATTAAGATGCATTTATTTCCATTATCTAGTAAAGTTTTCAAATCAATAGGCTTCAGACACTTGTCGATAATATATGATAGTAATCAAACTCATGTCTGTTGAATCAAAATTTATTTTTCGGAGTTATTTTATGTAGAACTTTCAATGCTTATGTTATACGTCAGATGGATCAATCAAAGTGGTAATGGTGACTAAACAATTGATTCCACAGTATGTACGTGCAAATATTTTACATAATATATTCTTGAAAGTTATATGAAAGATCGAAACAGTTTAGGATTTCTAGCTAAAAATAGACTGAAACAATATGAATATTTCTGGTTAAATACTTGATTACCGTAAAACGGTTTTATGGAATTCACACAAAATTTAACTGAAATTTAGACAGATAGGCAGTGTAGCAAAAGAATTAGTTTGGATTTGGTGGAAAGTAGTGATACATGCAGAATTCCAATAATCACAGCTAACCACTGCAGCCAATGGAGCATAGGCTTCAGTACGCATGACTAAACATTACTAATAACAATTTACCTCTATGACACTGTGGAAACTTACTATGGAGTAGTGTTAAACAAAAGTCTGGTAAATACTTACTACGTGGCATGATGCTCCCATATCACCGGTACTCTGAATACCTCTGTTTGTGTTTAGTACCCATCTTTTATTATTTCCATGATTAACACACAAAGAACTCGGTCCAAACTGTTGCATTAAAGGGTTCACACCTATAAATTGAAAACCAGGACTACTTGTAAGAACTGAATGGACCGTCGGCGAGTATATAGACTGATTAATTTAAGGTATCTAACACTTAATACGATTTTTTTTTCAAGAAAAATGAGGAATTTATGTTCTCTAAACTGACGTTACGAACTTAGTGTATAATTAATATGCTTCAAATACTTTAAATAAAAACATTTTAGAGTAGTTAACTCCACAATCAAGTTATGAAAATATATACAGTTAAAATGCTTAAATCGAAGTTGAGGATATGTTCAACTGACTCATGAACTTAACCATTGAAATTACTACAATCTCCACAAAAACCCATCTGATATTAGTGACTGGCTTCATGAGGTATATCCTGGAGTTCTAGTGAGAAGTAGTGACCAGTGGAGTTCAACCAGGTCTGTTGTGAGGTAGTAACTCACTGAAGACAATGGTGAATGTGTCGCTCAATTTCGTGGATTATTTGAAGTTAGACATTAACACCGTTGGATGCCAGTCGGCTCAGTGGTCTAGTGGTTAAGTGCTTGGGCGCTAAACCAGTAAGTTCTGGGTTCGAATCTCTCAGGGGGCGAGGTCGTGGATGAGCACTGCTGAGGAGTCCCACAATAGGACGAGACGGCCGTCCAGTGTTTCCAGGTTTTCCATGGTGGTCTAGCTTCAACTGACTCATGATGTTAACCATTGAAAATAATTGGACATTTATCATTATGTCAACTTTATTTATTACACCTTGACAGACGGTGAAGTAGTAAAATGTCCTGAGGACGGGCCTAGAACTCTTGATATATATAGAGAGAGTCATCTACACAGTGGCTATTCTCATAGTTCCGCAGGATGAATCTAACAGTTAACGAGTCTTGTTATGCGTTGATTTTGACCAGATTTTCGGACATATTAAAAGATAATGACAATTTCTTCACCGTTTTTAATAGTTTGATAAACAAGCTGCTCTAAGTTACACTTGTTCTCTAAACATGAATTCAGTTTGGTGAACGTTGTAACAGTAAATTTTGTACCACCAGACTAATTTAATTCAGTTTCATCAAAGATTGAGATAAAGATACTTTAATACCTATCTATTTAAAACGTCAAACGATAGTCTGCAATTCAAGTTAAGTCGACTTAATCGTGAAAATTTGTTTAGATAATGACCAATTGTAATCTTATTGTACAATATATGTTAAAAATAATCGATTGAACCTTCATGTAATAATATTCAGAAGGACTTTATAGTAATAAATTCCATAAAAGTCAGTAAGACAAGTATTTTTTTAAGAAACGAAACCAACTTAATAAAGTTATGTGATAATAGAATAGTATAGGTAGTCACAATAATCTATTTCATGATTTGACATATTACAGGTTCATTAAACTTCAGGGTGATTTTTAGATTAAACAATGGTTAAAACTAAAGAAGAAATAGAGCTATTTGTCTAGATATTTAATCATTATTGTTGACTGATTTTGCAACAGTTAGTTGAGTTTCACTTGTTTTATAACTTATTTATAACTTGTTTATAACTTACCTAAACGCTGATTATTTTCTTCATGTGTGCAAACTGATGTTTGACCTGTTCCATTAATGTTTGGTACCGGCTAAAAGGAGAGAAAAGGACATTAAAACGCACTGTAAATAAATTTTTTAAAGATACAAATATAAATGTCTCAGAATCATACAACACGTATGACTGAGTGGTGCAAGAAAAAATCCCATAGGCTTGAATTATCAATGTTATTTAATTCGATGACAGTTATTTAGGCTCGTAGTAGTAAACTTCGCTCACCCCAGGTCAACTTTACTAACTGTGCATACAGATTGATTCATAAGCGTCTCTGACCTATACCTGTGATTATTAACTACTGACAATCCCTTCAGTGTTTTACTCACAAATCATTTATTCCAACATTTCACAGTAATTAACAATTTTACTTTCAAAAGAGAACTATGGTTAAATATCATCACTCTCACGTTGGACTACAAAGTGCGCAATCAAAATTTTTAATAAAAGTAATCAAGATAATAGTAATTGAATTTTTGCATTATTAAATAATCTGTAGTTAAAGGCCAAGGAAATTTCTTCAAAATAGAATGAAGCAACTCTGTTTTTTTAAATGCAAACTGTCAATTCAGTCCTTAACTTGATATTATAAGGTGAACTAAAGCTTACTGTAGGTTGAGCAAATTACCAATATATTTGTTATGTTCTATATATATATATATATATATATATATATATATATATATATATATATATATATATATATATATATATATATATATATATAATACGTTAGTCACTAATATCACTAGTTAGTAAGAATTAAATTTTCTTTGGATCTTCAACAGTATTATATGTGTACAGTAAAGATGGTAGTTTATTACCTGGAACAATGCACACCCATCATGTAATTTACTATCACCTGCCAAAAACTCACGCTCTTGATGATTTGTTACATGTTGTTTGTCTGGTTCAATACGCTGCTGATACAGATTCATGTTACAGTAATTATATGCATTGTTATATGATACACACTGAGCACGTGTCAGATCAAAGTAATCACACCATGGACCAGTTGGTTCTTTTCTGTAGAAAACAAATAAATGAACTAAAATTGTTCAGTATAAATTTTTGGTAAAGACAATCTAATTATCCAATGAGAATTAATGAATATATAGAGCGAATATAGTGGATAATCAACCGAAGTAATCGAATCTCGCAGGGTGCGGGATCGTGGATACGCACTGCTGAGGAGTCCCATACTAGGACGAAATGGCCGTCCAGTGCTTCCAGGTTTTCCATGGTGGTCTAGCTTCAAATGACTTATAATTTATTTGTATTTAAATCATAATAAAAGATTTTCAATCCTAATAAACTGATTACAAATATATTAGATAAGATATTTCATAAAAACAGAGTGTAAATACTTAATTGAACTAACTTTAAAGTAATCGCATTAGATTAAATGAACATTTAGCTAACATACGTAAACAATTTAAAATTCAGATTAAGCTGTTGCGTAAATTAAGTTTCCTCAAAATTTTTACTCATTACTGGTTTGTGTAATACAAAAGGAAGATATATATATCAGTTAAAACAATAATTTAGTTTTTATTTTATCGATAATACCACTGACTACGTTCGGCTTGTAATACTTAAATGGTTGTATAAGAGGCAACCTGGGGTTATTGTCAGAGCTTAAAGTCTGATTTTCTAATCAATACTGAATCTTACCTACTTTACGCCTTTTACCCTTCGTGAAGGGCATTTCCATTCTTAATTAAAAATTGTGAATTCATACTTTCCATTGACCATAAAAATACAAAGTGTAAAAAAATATCACTTTTTGACACACTAATTACCGGGATCTTCTTATGGCCATATATTCAGAACAACTTTTTGTAATAAATTCACATCCTAAATTTTTCCCCCATTTCCAGTTTCCGGCCATCTTATGATTGACGTCATACCACCTGGTATAAGAAATTATAAAACAGAAATGTAATACTGTCAGAAATAATAAATAAATAGAGTTCATTTGTGATGTGTGCTACTGATATCAACAGATATATATATATACTATGTATCGCCAATAGAAAGTAAGATGCCTGATGGCGGAAGATTAAGGAAATTGAAGAGAAAAGAACGAGAACAGAGAGTGATTGGTATGGAAACGAAGGAACAATCAAGTTCGAAACGACTGATTAACATTTTGCAAATGAAGTATTTACTGTATGGTTTTCAGATTTTACTAAGATATTCTGTAGTGTTGCATTGGAATAGACTTCTTTGTCCCCGACTTGTGTTCTCGTTAACTACACACTTAGATATATAGTACGTAAGAAATAAAGTCTACATGTCCCTTAACCTTACTTTATAACTTATGAAGCATATAAGTAGTTCACAAACGACTTAGAACACTATAATTTCCTAGTTGAATCTGAAAAATTAAGGTTAACCCATTAAAACGTAAGGTAGCCTAAATAGCTCAAATTCATCTTTAAGTGTTAAATAGTATCATCCTGAACTCAGATACTTGATCGCTGAATATGATTTTCTCTGGACTTTATAACATATAAAATACCTCATCATTATGTCTTGTCATATGAAAGACTGAAACTCGAATACTGTAAATATCAGTCAGTGATGAATAAATACATAGTTACGGATTATAAATCCCAGACTACTCATGTCAAATTAGTTGTAAATACTTCATGTAGATTCATATAATGGAAGTGTAAACACTAAACATTGTGGAAGAGCACTCTGGTTAATTTTTTGATTTACTATCGCTAAGAAAATCCTATAAATTTTGTGTAACTCTGAAATGTTTACACCCAACATCTGGTTCTTTATACTCGATGGTTTGTAATGATAATTCGATCTTAGAATTAACGAATTTAATGATTAGGAAACTGAAGCATACTTTCACATTGACCTGTACTTCCAGATTATTTTGCTTAGTTTAACGACAGCTTCTGTCATAAACAGTTATCAACTAGAGGACCAATAAAGATTAAACTATTACTTATCCTAGATTTATACGTTATTTGTGTTTGATTAAATTTAAAACCTTCGGGTTTCAAGTTAAGTATAAACCCAATAGATTACTAAGTAGAAATTGTATAATCCACATTTTTATCTTCACTTAATTCGTAGGGATTCATTACAACCACTCACCTTTATCTGTGATCTCTATTTTACCCTGATTATGATTAGATTCAATTGGACACAGTCTCTTACTGTAACTTCGATAGTTTCCAATCATAATTAATCACAATGTGTTTTTTTTATCTAGATAAGTGATGTGTGAAAATTTCAGTTCAGTTTAAAAATACTTTATTGTCACAGAATATTATCATCTCGATAACTGTCAAAATTACATTTGCTAACTGACTGTCTTTATATTCATTAAATTAAAGTATGTCAGGAAGACTTTGCTAAATTGTCATGAACAAAAATCTTTTAAATGAATGAACAATACAAAGAAATACAACACAATTGATTATTTTTCTTTATTTAAACTATACCAAATTTATGCAACTGTATTTTGAATAGTAATGAAAATATAATGAAATTGGGAAAAAAACAACATAAAAACTATGATCAAACAAGTGGTTAAATTTACATTATCTAGAAATTATTTACTTACCCAGAATCTTGGAAAACTGATAATGTTAACCCTGAAACAATTGACGGTAGTTCAACACTTCCTGACATAAGTTCATCCTAAAGAAAATAACACATTAATACTTTATGTACACAAATTTAATTGACACAAATTATATTTTTTTTTGAAACTGCAGCAAAGCTATCCATTTATGTCATTTCTATATTCTTGATATACATGGAATAGGAGCACTTTATGGTACAAAATGTTTTTTTTATTAAGTACATGTTTACAATAACAAAGGAGTTTCGTAAGGGCTTGTGCAAACAATAATTAATTTCATTATTTTCTAGTGGATGTTATGACTGCAGACTAAGTTTTTATCAAATATATAATATCCTAAATGGTTAATGATGGTTACCACAATAAATAAAGTATGGATTCAATGAATTAGTATGAACTCACCTATAACGAATTCATAAAAATATATTTTAAATTAATATTAACGTACATAAAATTTCATTTTATGCTTTGTCACAGTTCATTTAAACAGTTATCTACAAATACAGTCATTTTTATGTTGTTTGTTTATTATGATCCTTTTTAAAAACTAAAGAACGTTAAAATTATGACATCGGTAAGAATTCAGAGGCCGTTTCTTGAAGGTCATGAATTCACGAATTTAAAAATATCTGATAAAATTTAACTTATTTTCCATACAATTTTAATACAACAGATTCGTGTTTTCGGCTTTCAGTCACACTTTCAGTGTATTAGGACTATTGGTACCACCTGTCTGTTTAAGGCAAAATAAGTTAAGTCGAATCTGAACCTCCAACCAAATAGTTTACGTCATTTTGCTTTGATCGCTACAACACTCTTCCTGATCGTCTAGATAAAGAAAAACTTGAACAGTATTTGACTAAGCAAACTTGTTACAGTTAACTCAGACTTAAGCATTTTTTTATTCTAACAAAATTTAGGGAGAAAACTAAACGACCACTACTCAGCCTCAAGGATTATAGTAAAGTATGGTATGATATTTATGCTTATAATTTCAACCTGAGACATATGACACTAAAATTTATTAATATCTGTCTATTAATGTCATATATTCATTCATGTGGATTTTAGTAAGAAACAAATCATTCACTATTGTCATACCACCGATTACACTTATTTACGTTAAAGTCAAGTCGTTTATTGCTAAAAAACAGTAAAACTCCCTGTACATTAAGTATTTGTCATAGTATTCAATAAGATTTACAACGGATTCATTTTATATTCATGAATTCCAGGAAGGACCATGATTTTCAAGCATTTATATGAGATCACTTGACCAAACAGACTTCATAAGAGTACTGATTATCTATGTTGGGATATTCAGAAAAATATCCCAACAATTATCTTGTTAAGTCTAATGGTGTCCTTGGACTTTAAATGGACATTTCCTATTAGTAAATATTTATTTCACTTGTCATATATTGTTTTCTATTTTATGGTACGATGTGGTCTGTTTGATTGGTATATAAACAGAGTATGTCTGAAATATAATGATTCATATCTCTGAGGCTGAGACTTGCGTTCTGGACTCAACTGGCTGGGCTAGACAGGGAAACGGGCCAATCAGAGCCCTAGATCGTTCTTACGTGTCTTACGCGTCTTTGAATCGATCGATAATTCGCTAACCTCAAATCTGCAGCATCTCACGTTACAACAATCTATTACTTGATTAAATAAAACTATCAGTTTACTCAACATGAATAAATGAAAGGCGAAAACCTCGTGTTTTTCTACTTACATGCACAACTCTTTTCTCAAAATGTGTTAAATGTGTGGCACTACTGCCTTCATTTTCAAGATCCACACCGTCTAAACTCGGGCAGTTGAAATGACTTCTGGCGAATTTCTAAAGCAAAACGAAGTATGTTTCGATGAGGTCATAAACCGATCTAAGGCAGAAAACAATTTAAAATGTGTAAGCACCGGATGACTATATCTTCCCAATATGGACCTCTTCAACAGTGCTCATTAACGATCCCATCACTGGAGGTCGAACCTATGACTATCTGTCCAACACACAATGGCTTGAACGCTAGACCAGTGGATTGAAAGTATAATTTCGACCAATCTATTATATCACGTGACTATCTACTGTTGCTTTTGGTGAGTACTCTCCTCACACTCCACACGATTAAACTCTACTGACCATGGCTTGTCAGCAAAACCTCAGAATTCCTCTCTAGTGGACGTCCTTCCAGTGCTTCCAGGTTTTCATTTGTTACCCAGCTTTGATGGACTCGTGATCTCAGTAAAATTCAGTAATCTGCACAATTCTGATACTGACATATGTGTATCTTATTCGAATTGGAATGGCTTCATTATCAAGAGTAAATATTAAAATCAGCTATTGACTACACAAGGTATTTCTGGGGATTCATTGTTGTTTCGTGTGGACTCACCAACATCCTGAGTTTAATCATTTAAATGACTGTTTTCATCATAAAATGACACTAGCTAAAGCATCAGTGAACATCGAACGACTATCTCGAAATTTCATCTCTACGAACTCATGACTGCATACGAGATCAAAATCATGACCTTTAAACTGCTTGACTAGTATTATAAGTTTAATTTAGTCGTTTAGTGATCTCATATCCTCCATACGACCTGTAGCTCTTAGGTTTTATTTCATGTAACGTGATAAAACTGTACTACTGCAAAATGACAAACTTTAATACAGGTTAGTATTTGTCCGTATATATTGTCATAGTTTTAATTAATATCCCGAGTGAGGGGTCGTGGATGTGAACTTCTGAAGAGTCCCATACTAGAACGAAACTGACGTCCAGTGCTTCCAGGTTTTCAGCAGTGATCTAGTTTAGACCAGCTTATGAATTTGACTGTGAAAATATTAAAAACTCCGCGAATCCCCATAATGATAATATCTAATAATCATTTGAAATGAAAATACCATTTTTATATATATGATTACCAATAAATATTGAGAAAAGGCGACAAAAATTGAGGGCAAATAACATACCAAAACGTTTGGAAGAACAAAGGCTCCTATTTTCCGTGTCAAAGAAACCTTTGTGGATTTCCAAGTGCGAGTGACTTCCTTAACGACATCGTTACTGAATTAAAGAAAATAATATTTACAAGATGTTGGTTCCCTATTGTTATAAATAATTAAGTGATATGTTACTTAAAGAATTGGTTCTTTTAATTTTTAGGCTATTCAAAGAAATTTCAGTATAAATTGTGACAACAACCATTATTATTAAAGTTATGGTATTTGAGGACAGAATTTTTCTACGACCTTTGTTGGTGTATGTACATGCTGTATTATTTACCTCAATATAGCAATTTTATTGCCAGTTCAATAAAATAGATGAATTGTGGTTAGAAGTGGAATTCAGGACTCCTGTTTCATCTTTTCCGAGACCTGTCAAGTGGATGCACCTGCTTCCTGGTGTCGATGCTCCCATTGGGACCCTAATCCAGTATCCTTCACTTCAGACGTCCAACGCGTCACCATTGAGCTAATAAGTCCCTATATCGACTAATTTATTTGAGCAACATGATGGCTTCATCGGTATTAGCAAGGGCTCGAGTTATTGTAATGTTCATATTCAAGGTCAAAAGATTAATCAGAAATTCAATCCCTAACAGCTCACTGATGGAGTTATAAACAAGAATAAGAATAACGTTTTGTTCTCCCTTTCGGGATCAGCTAGCAATTCAAAATATCTAAAAATTTGACAAAATAATCCAACTCAGATTGAAAAATACTTTTTCTTTACTACCATAGTTTTCCAATAGTTCATAGCTAAACGCGCCCTAAGAATTCTAGCAAAGTATCTTCTAAGACGCTGCTCACTAAATAAGTGGTCTTTCGGCATTGCCACTAAATTTTGCTTAGGTTAGCAAAAGCTAATAATTTGTTCTTTGTTGATTTATTAATGACCGTAAATTGTATCGCTATATAGGTACCACAAATGCTAAATCCACATCTTTGATGAGGTAAGAATATATATATATATATATATATATATATATATATATATATATATATATATATATATATACTAACGTATTGTTTTATGTCTCACTGCATGTGTATGTAACTGATGCTGATTGAAAGTTGAACCAAATTACTAGTTGGGGAACTAATCGATTTTAAAACCATATATTACTTTTTAACAGAATGTGCAATCCATCGAGATTTATTCATGAATATCAAAAACTGATTGTTAGTTTAAATGAATGACTTTCTGTATTGATGCCCCGAAATATAATCTTTTTTTAACGTTTAGTAAAGTCAGCTCTGTCATTTATGGAACAGACTTTATCAAGTCATTGAAAAATCGATAACTTAGTTGACACAAGTTAATCTAAGGATTTTTTTAAAATGTTTTTTAAGAGTTGAAATTTACTAATTGGAATCACTAATTATCGTCAATGACTTACCTAGGAGCAAATACTCCAAACTCATCCCTCGGAGTACTTGGCATTCCTGTAACAGGATCACGTTGCGTTCGTGGTCTGCCATGCTCGTCACGATAAAAAGCGTAAAGATTTCTGTTAAACCCCTAAATATGAAAGGAATGTTGGATCGTTTATCTCATTCATTTTATACATTCGATTAGTTGCGAAAGTGGGACGTTAAAAAGAATATTTGGAAATTAGTAATAAAAAAATAATTTCATTACTATTGAATATTTTACGCAGTTGTTTCATTTCATTTAAAGCACCTTTGAAATTATCTGGAATCAAACCGAGAAAACTTGAATCTATTAGGAAAAATATCACTTCTGAGTCCAAATCAAATAATTCTACGTTTCACATTGGATTTTTGGTCTGTTGTCGATATAGTTTAAAGTTTGTTAACTAGTCTCGCATCTAGAAGATTCCTTTTAGAAATTTACACATTAGGAAACTTCAAAAAAACTGGTGAAAACCCAATCAACTTCATTAATTTACAATAAGCAAATAAATTTGTCTGTGTAATTGTGTTTATTGAGAATATACTCCAAATAATTCGACTAAAAATCTTTTAATGATACTCTAAGTACCTTCGTAAATAATCTGAAATGAAGTTGTTTGAATAGGAATCTTTTTTTCACTTTTAAACGCTTCCGCAGATAGTAATAATAATAGAAATAATAAATTAACGCATCACAGCAACAATTAAATTTGTATAAATGTGAGATTTATACAGTGAATAATAGTAGTAAAGAGTTGATCTCATGAAAACAGCATCTGTGTATGCAAAACGATTTTAAATTTAGAATAAGTACTTAATTTCACTTAAACGTTCATGTAGAATGATAGGGTTGGTAGGTTACCGTAACAAACCACAGAATTATTCCTATGAAAATATATTCAAGGCTTCTGTAAATAATATTCAGAAAGTATATGAAATTATCGTATTTTCTATCAAAGACATATTTTGAAATTTCAGTAAGAAAAAGGAGCATAATAAATTCTTTATTCAGCAAAGTATCCAGAGATACAAAAGTAAATTATCTAATTCCATTGATTACTTAATAATAATTTCAACAGTTGAAACCATGAGTCATTTGAAGCTAGACCACCACGGAAAACCTGGAAGCACTGGACGGGCGTTCCGTCCTAGTATAGGACTCCTCAGCAGCGCGCATCCACGATCCCGCCCCCCGCGAGATTCGAACCCAGGACCTATCAGTCTTGTGCGCGGGCACTTAACCATCAGACCACGGAGCCAGGACACACACCGCTGAGGAGTCCCATAGTAGAACGAAACGGCCGTCCAGTGCTTCCAGGTTTTCCATGGTGGTCTAGCTTCAACTGACTCACGGTTTCAACTATTGAAATTACTAAAATCTCCACAAAACTCCTTCTAACACTTAATAATAATTAATGTCATACCAACTAGGCATCAACGTTGAAAGGACCAATTTCTTTATAGTTACACTATAATACTGAGTTAAATAACTTGACAGTAAAGTAAATTTTGTTTTCAAAGTTAGATATGACTGAGGGGAAACTGCTCAACCTACTACTTGTATCTGAAGTTCAGGAGTACTGAGTACTTAATACACAAATCAACAAACCCTGAATACATTTTAAATAAAAATGATTTTTATATTTTATATACAAACTGTTAGTTAAAAGATAAATTTTATTTGCAGTCACCAAGTTAACACGTAATTATAACAATACTGAACTGTGTAAGTTCTTGAGAGGGAAAATTCTTGTCAATCACAGAAAAAATAAGGCTCTACTGAATTAAAGAATAAATGAATATATCGCTGGAAAATTCTCATTATATTAAAATACTATTATATAAACGAGGAATTTTCTTTTCAATAGTTTCTATTCAGGGTCCAAATTAACAATCCATAAAATTGGTCAGATTTAAGGTAAAGTGCATCATTTAAAATTGTAACATGTGAATCAAGGATTGTTTGTCATATCAAATCAAATCATTAATGTTTGGGTGACTGATATGAAGTGTTAACTTAAATCAGTTTATAAGTGAAATGAAATTGTGAGACAAATGATTAGAGTAAATATGGTCAACACGAGGTAAGAGAGAATATACGTTACAAGCAATTGGCTTGTAGTAAAGTTTATAGATGTTAAATGTTTAAACGAGTTATTTATTTCAACAACGGTATGTTAATCAACTTCGCTTTTAAAATCGTACTCAAAAACCGATAAATTTTGCTCATTCATAATAGTTAATCTTAACATTTACATCTGATCAGTTGATAACTAATAAGTCTAATAGCAACTCATCTTTTTTCAAGATTCTATGGCAGAATGTTTAATTTAAGAGAGATTGATATTCTGTATATAAGTGAAAAACATAGAGGTTTTGGCTACATAAATCTTCCTGATGAAAGTGAATGACCGCAAAAATTTAGCTATACAGTTATCTCCAAACTATGTTTAAGCACAGAACACGTGTTTATAACTAGCAATTTACAAAATATGTTTATATATAGGAATGTGGTGCATTAGAATAAGGGCTACTTTGATTGAAAGTTTATCGAATTTGTGTATTAGAAAGAGGTGGACACAACACAACTTACTAATGCATGTCCCATTTCATGAATTGCTGTATACAGTAACACTTTACTCATTGGATAATTTTCATCCAAACGATTTGGACAGAAATTAATGAATCCAAGAATTGGCCTGTTGTTAGAATATTACCATAAAATTATTGACGAAAAAATCTAGATTGTAATTAGTTATGAAAGACTAAAATCAATGATATATATGACTTCATGATTATGATTTATTATTATTCGGGAAAATGTGATCAGTTGGTAGGAATTAAAATGATAAACCTGTGTGGAGAATGGTTGTTTTACTAATGACTGTTTAAATCTCTATACTTCCGGTTTTATCAATATCCTTTACAACTATTCCAGAGAAGAAATATCTTATAACGAACTCATTTTTATATATTTTTATGCTTTGCGGAATGTGAAAAGCTGAACATTTATGCTTGATCAAGACCGATCGAACTGTTCTTTATGTGTTAACTTGATATTTCAAGAATTAATTCACTTCACATCCAAACTATAGCTGATTACTATAAAAACCTCTCAAACCTGGAAAATCAAGATACCCAACCCTCATAAACTGAAAGAGGTTGTTAAGCTATAGTTCAATGTTTCGAGGATTTTCTTCATTTATACCAAAGAGATCAAGAATATTTATATGAATCTTGTATAATTCAACTTATCTCAAATGATTCAGAGTAAATATAAACTCGTTGTATATTTTACAAGATCCCCAGTATTTGCTTGACTCAATATATCATTTGATGTGGAGATTAATCGTAAATATAACTACATTCTTTTGTAAATCAAAGCTATAATAATCAGATCATGATCCTTAACGACACTGTTTATTTTACCTTAGTCACAATCACTGTATTCAGTATCAGGTTCAGTTTATACCGGTTTACGAAAACAATGTATTTCTAGTTTCAAATGTAATGGTGATATATATATATATATATATATATATATATATATATATATATATATATGTTTTTTTACCGATCAGTGTTTCCTTCCAACTGACAAGCGTTTGCATAAGCTAACAACCAATTATCATTACATAAACCACCTGGCGATGCGTCAACAATCATTAAATATCCATTGCCTGGTATACCGGAACCATCAGATCCAGTAGTTCCATATCGTGTTCTACATGCCTTCATTAGAAAAATAATAATAAACAGTAAATTGATTGTTATTATAGAAAACAAGAAATCATTTCACTAATCAAAATAAGTGGTATCTGAAATAAATTGATATTCTTTGTAAGTAGTTGACTATTAGTAATTGCTATATATTAACCTTTTGTAGTTTTTGTTAACTCTAATTCAACTGATTTTCTCTTACACTTTGATCTGAAGAAATAATATAAAAGTTCACATTGATACATTGATGAGTGGCGTTAATTTTGAAATTGAAATTTATGCCAAAATATAATTTTCTTGAATTTGGTTGCTTTTTTGTTCGCTTTTGAAAAGTGATAAAGACAATTATATTTTCACTTGGTATTGTTTTGTTTGAATATTCCGATTGACGTTTAAGATTGCAATTGATCAGTCTTTTATTGGCATATGTGGTCCTGGGTTCGAGTCCAAGAGTGAACAACAACTCATCCAGCTGAAGAGTCTCAAATAGGACGAATTGCGCGTCCTGAATTCCACTGCTAGCCACTATCCATCTTTGCTTACAATCATATTTTGTTTAGTGAACATTTAATTAACATGCAGTAGTACAAGTGATTATTGTTTATAACAAATGAAAATGATAAATTCATGTAACTGATTAGTGTCACCATAATTTTTCATATAACTTCATATCAAGTAAATAATTACTGTATAGTAAAGAGTTAAGACCAGTCACATTTTTTGCTAAGATGACTGAATGGATACTTTGTAAAATTTGGAATTATTTTTCACTGCAAATTGATAATAATTGGAAAATACTAGGAAGTACTGGATAACTGTATTTTCCTAGTTTATAACTCATTTGAATCTGATTGTATCAGAAATAACCTAAGGTTAAGGTGAAAACCTCAGAGTTTGAAGGACATTGTACTCATTGAATGGCTAGAAGATCCTTATTTTCATCCCTTGTTGGATTAAAATTTCATATTATTTGTAAGTCACAAACTCGTATTAAATATTTTTCAAAAAGTTCTGTGGTTTGACAAAGGGTTCTGTTTATGAGTAGAACTACTTCCAAATACTTTTTTATTTTATGAGTAGTATACATCCTGAATACAGTTTTTTTAATGGTGAGATGAACATTAAAATTTTGATTTAATTAACTATAATACAGTAGTCATTAGATTCACATTTTCACTGGCTTTTCCTCGAAAATTTTATTCCTTAATCTTAAGAAACATTCATGTTGTTACTAAATGTCTAATGATAGGATGATAGTGATTGTGAATCGTTAGAAACTGCTTTATTCTTCGTTTACAGTTTTCTATGTCATAGACCAAAATGGAGATTTGTAGAATTCTTCGGTCTTATTATTGATTACATTTGAAGTCTGATTTCTATTTTTTTATATAATTCACGTAAAGAGGTGTATAGTTTTATATACTGTTACGTACGTACTCACAGACTTACTTGTAAAAAGTTCTCAGGTACTTGCATTGTATGACATTTAGCTGACGGATGACAAGCATGTTCGCAAACTGTGTCAAGCGATCGATTTTTGGAGGGAAAGAACCAAAGTCTATCATCTATACAATCTCTATTTTTATTGTAAATTGATACAAAACAGAAAGAACCATGTAGTAATTAACAAAGGTTAAACGTTGTCATAGATAAAGTTGTAATTTCTAAGAATTTCAGAAATTCCCCTCGTGTTTTATTGATTTTCTCAATATTTTGTGGCCTATATTGGTTTATTCCTATGACTTCTCACTGGTTAGTCAAAATAAATTGAGGTGGAAATAATAGTTTTCAAAGGATTAGTAGACAGGATTGCACCAATAAAAAAACATTTGGTTGATTCAAGAACTGAATGAGTGAATGAACTATTTAATCTGCTTTAATAAAAAGATAAGGATCACAAAACTTATCTTATTCAGCAAGATTAACTAAAATCAAGAAAAATCGATTTTTAAGTCTATAGTTGAAACGCTTGTTTGGACAGCACTGTTAACATTCAAACCAATGTATATTGGCTACACATCTTGTAAGTGTGATACAAAACTGCATCACGGCGTGTTCAAAAGAAAATCATTTGAGAATAAATCAGATATATGTGATTTTTTATAAGATCTTCCAATGAAAATAAAACAGTATTCATAGTAAACAATTTTTACATGATATTTATTAAATTCTAAATTATTATGCTATCTCTATCATCTTACCTTCTGATTAGTAGGTTTCTGTTCGATGGCCGTTTAACACTGAGAGCATTTTGCCAGAAGTATAATGCTTTATCAACTATCTCATTCTAAAATAAAGAATATGGAGATTTCATTATAATAAATAAACGTAAGTATTTCTTTTTTATTTATTCAGATTGGCGAGATTATAATTTATGGGCGAACCAATTAAATTTAAGATAGCAGATCTTGGATTTTGGCGCTCAGTTCTTTCATCCACTTGGCTAAATACCATTTTAGTATTATAGCTGATGCCAGTTTGTAATAAAAACATGAAATCTAATTCCAAACTTCAACATTCAACTGTAAATCCGAATTTAAATTCCTCACATTAATATACAACCCTCATTTAACCCTTGTAAGTAGGTGGATGTCCTAAGGTCATTTTGACGTTGACGAAAAGTCGTCCGATTTCCTTTGATATTACGACGAATGATCTTAATTTTCAGTTGTGATTAACAGATCTTCGGGCTGAAATCAACCTAAGTAAAAAGCTTAAGCACTTTACATTGATTGCAATCCTAATCGTATCACTTCTCGGAAGATTTTTCAATTAAAATGTTTATTTTCGGGGTGAATTTGCATCTTCGAACAAGTATTTTTATTTAATGAAGTTCTGTGGGATAGAGTTCTGATTTCAACTTGTTGATAAAAATGTATAGCCAATATGGAATTACACACCACGGTAAAAATGACTCTTGATTCCAACCGATTAGTGAAACACAGCATAGTTTTATTCATTTTCTTGATAAATTAACGTCAACTCTGAGGACTACATAAATAGATGCGAATTCCACTAATACATAATATGTAATACATATTTACTTACCAATTGCATTTATTCAGCTCTTTAATCAAAATGTTTACTAACCTCTAAGTTAAGTATTAAAACAAAAAAAGAAGAAAACTATACATCACAATAATCAATTAATAAGATAAACAAAACATGTAATTTCTTTTCACCTTTAAAAATTTAGATTTTGGACTATTGTTAAAATTCGAAGCAAACAATGGTACGATATTTAAGCGTTGATTATTTATTTGACGTGTTTGTATACCTTGTGTAAAACCTCCATGAGTCTAATTATTGTAAAATATAAAATTAAAAGAAATAATTTGAAAACGTACAATTTTCTCCATTGATTGTAATTTACAAATATGTTTACATTTTACTGAAATAATAAAATAGTAGAAAAGTATAAAATGAATAAATGATTGAATGATTATTCTTATTATCATTTTCAATGTTAATATTAGTTCTATTAATATGAACTCAGAAAAAAAACATTTACTACTGATTGTTCATGTATATATATATACATCAAAATTTAAATAACCTTTGAGTTTATTGGTTAGTTCACATTAGGGAATTTTGTCATGAATTAAGTTTATTAACTAGCAAGCACTTTTATTGTTTGTAGATTTCAAATAAATTATTATTATTATTACTAATACATTATATGTTATTGTTCTTTAATATCAATGGTTAAGATCATGAGTCAATTGAAGCTAGATCACCATGGAAAACCTGGAAGCACTGGACGGCCGTTTCGTCCTATTGAGGGACTCCTCAGCAGTGAGCATCCACGACCTCGCCCTCTGCGAGGTCCGAACCCAGGACCTAATGGTTTCGCGTGCGAGCACTTAACCACTGAGCCGGCTGGCATCCAACGGTGTTAATGTCTAACTTCAACTAATCCACGAAATTGAGCGACACATCCACCATGGTCTTCAGTGAGTTCTTTAATAATTAATAAGACTATAAGCAAAGATGAATAGTGGTTAACAGTAGAATCCAGATTGATGCACGTATTGTCTTATTTGGAACTTGTCAGCTGGATATACTTGTATGTCAGAGTTGATGTTCACTATGGGACTAGAATCCAGTACTGTTTACTTCAAACGTTATTGCGTTATTTACTGTCTACTGAGTTCTGATAGCCAAACATATACCAATAAGAGATTGATCAATTGCAGTCCTAAACATCAATATGAAGATTCAAGTAAACAATATAGTTATATGTATATTTATGTGTATGTTTTAGAGAATTGTGTTAGTGAAAATTTTTGTCAAGTCACTATTTCTAACTAAATTACTGAAAATGTTAATTAGATTTCTTGGCTTTTTAATATATTTCCAAGTATTGTTTAGTTCGTAATAAAAAGCATCTTTAAATCTAATTTATGTTAGAACAAACTTTATAGACCAAGCAAGAATCATTGAATGACGTAGCTAAATCCTCACAGTTTATTTAATGTTTAAAAGCTCTAAAGGTTAGGAGCTTTGGCTAGCTAACATATGAAGTCTGGTGTCATTATATAGAATAAACATGTCCTATCTTTGAGTCACTTTGTGTTTATTATTATCAATTCATAATTTTTTTATTTTTATTCCTTATACGTTTTCCTCTAAAGAATTTGAAACTCCAAGAATTAATGGAACTACTAAGATTAGTAAAATCGCAAATGTGCTTATTTTTACAACTGTTTATAATCAGTAGAAAAGCTACTCAAGTCAGTCCTAAAGTGGAAATTTTAAATTGGTGCATCAAAGTAAGAAAAAAACGAAAATTTAAAAATGTATGTGCTTCGTTAGCATTTCCGTATATCGACAGTCTACAGAAGCTAATAAGTTTAGAGGAAAATTAAAGGGTAAAATGGTTTAGTGTATATTTGTATCGTGGTTAGCATTGTGGTACAGAACACATGTTTCATTCCGTTCTCGATTCATTAGCTGTATGTACCAGCATCAAAGTCTTGATATCCATAGGGTCACTAACTTATGAAGATAATAGAATGGTATTAAGAAAAGTTTGTGATTTCTTATCGCTGATATTCAGGACTGCAGCTGATCAGTCTCTGTTCAACATGCACATTATGAATAGATCTCCATAACACACTGCTCGTCACAAGAATTCAGTATATATTTTGGCTGTGGTTTGCAGTAAAATCTTGAATGTGACTTCACACCTGTTGAACAAGTTGACGTCTGCTTGGGTTCAGTAGATCGGTGGATCGTGCACTGACATTTGAAGCGATACACACTAGGTTATAATCTCAGCGCGAATATCAACACTGTGATGCCGGTACATACAAATGATGAATCGAGAACGGGATAAAATATGTGTTCTGTACTACACTGTTAACCACAACTCAAATATCTGCTGAAAACTAGTGACGGAAAATTTCAGGATGCTCATATTGGGACAGAAACTGATAAAATCTAAACCTGAATATCAGTTGCGGGAAATTACAGACACTTATAAAACTGATTTAGGTTTGAAATCACATCTTGTTAGTTTTCCTGACAACTACCGAGTTGGGTATGATGTTTGAGTTGCCGGTTTAAAAAGCTAGGTTAAAACTTTTGAGAAGATTGGAATTCATTTATTTTTGACTAGGTTCTATTCATACAAATCATAAAGCAAAAAGAAAACATTCTATAAACATTATCTATCAAGTTATGAAGTTTTAACTTAATGAATCATTGGTAGGAGGCTATGAAATCTGTGTGATAGTTCTCTTTGCCCCCTAGTTTTTAACAGTCGTTTTCTTTATAATGATAGGAGTCACATAAACTGTTTTCATGCTGACAATGCTTCTGGGTTTGTGTCTCCTCCTCGTCTTATAACGGGTAGCACTCATTAACAATTGGGATTTAAACCATGTCACTGACTTCCCGAGATTATTGCTTGAATCATTCATTTAGGGAATTTTTAGACTTTGTTCCCAAGAATCCTGTATGTTTTTTGGCAGTTATCATTCCTAATTATCACACGACAGGCCTTAAACCCATAAAACTTTCTACTTCAGCTAGTCTAAACACAAGTGAATGTTGACTAAACAGACCTTTTAATTTAGAGATGCTGGATTGGATCCATTATCAAGTATATTGTCACGTCATTTTTATCTAATTTACAAAGTGTAACATGTGTTTCAAGTGAATTGTCCCATAAATAGCACTGTTTTGTGAGATTTTAGAAAGCTGAAAGAATATATTTAGGACTCTTAATTGCACTTTTAAAATTATTTCTCTATGTTTCGGAATTGAACTTGCATAATTTCATTCAGTTTGATCGCTTTCATCACGAGTTTCGTAAACTTTGAAAAGGTTAAATTCACTTGGTCTTATTTTACTTGTATCTTCCTATTGTTATTTAGGACAGCAATTGATCAGTCTCATGTTGGCATATGTGCATCCTGTGAGGATTGCCTCGATTTAGCCCTAAGTCACAAATTTTTTAAGCAAAGATGGATAGTGGTTAGCTGTGGAATCCAGGACGCGCGTTTCCTCCTATTCGGGACTTGTCAGCTGGATGTACCTGTATCCCAGAGTTGATGTCCACTCCGGGACTGGGACCCAGCACCGTTCGCTACAAACGCCATCACGTTCTCCACTTTGAAAAGTTTTTTTTTCTTTCTAAAAGTTAGAATGACTTCAAAACACGTCTGTTTCGTTTCGAGTCGATCCCAGTTTGATAGTCAGTTTAGCGGAAGATCTTCATTTATTTACAACCTTTAATTCTCGTGATTTAAAGTTATCGGTATTACCAAATACACTGAATCTGTTCTAAAAGCTTCAACCAAAATCAGAAATTTTAGTCTAACTATTCAGATGGTACTTAAAATCTTGGTTATGTAGATTCAAAACACCAACCGGTCTTGTTTTTTATGTCTTATTGTTAACTGAATTCTAGAAACGACTAAATTTTTACATTACTCACCTGCTTATGCCTGTTATCCCTCGTGAAGGAGCATAAGCCACCCACCACCACTCTCCATCCAACCTGTCCTGGGCAATTCTTTCCAGTTCTTTCAAGTTGCTATTCATCCTTTCCATGTTTGCTTCCAATTTCCGACGCACTGTGTTCTTTAGCCTTCCTCTTTACGTTTACCTTCAAGATTCCAAGTTAAGTAATATTATTTTTAACTTATTAGCAAGTTTCCTCGTTCAGTAATACATCATGCTTTAAGTAGATTTTATTAATTTTCGTTTTCATTTAACATATAATTAAATTACATTAATTCTACTTTTCATTGAGTTTTTTCATACTGTATAAAATTATCAGTTTTATGTCTATATAAATCAACTGGTAATAATACTGAAATCTTTCCTCCAATTCATTTTCATCAGTTATATTTTATAGTATTAAAAATACATATATGTTGACGAAGACTATACTTTCCATCAGGTTTCACAGTTATACGTCTAAATTAATATTTCGAAGGAATAGCCATGTTGGAACGGCTTCCGAGAACTATGACAGCGTCTCCAGAGACCCTAGAAGAGCTGAAGAGTTCCATCTAATCATAACTCAATGGAGCTTTCTAGAGTATCAACGTGGCATGCTACTATTGGTCAGTAGCATAATATGCCTCTTTGTGGATTGGTTGAATTATAATGTTGATTTAACAAACGCTAATATCTATAAATACCCATGATTTTCTGTACATTTTGATACTTGTCAAACAAGCACTTTCTCCAGTCTTCTTCTGTCTTCTTATTAGCTACTTGGTGGGTTCTAACATTCGTGTGCTCAAGTTATACGATGTATATTAAGAATTGAACCTCTAAATATAACAAGCCAAGTTTAAGGCGAATAAGTTTTTTTTTGAAATTATAGCATATGAACCACGGAATAGTCGGTAAAATTTAAAAAAATTGTTATTATAAACTGTTTGATATTCATACTTCATACTACACACTTATCTCCAAAATATATTATTCTGAATACATCAAATTTTGTCTTAAAAAATTAGTTTTAAGCTTAATTGTGTTGACTGAGTAAAACCTAGTCGTGTTGTATTCACTTCAATACAACTATTTCATTATCAAAGATTTACATGACTTCCAAAAGACCTAGGTTGCTTACTTTTAGAGGTAAAAATATTCAAAAAGACTTTTTGATCTTAGATTTTTCTTATTTATACTTAATAATGGTATTACTGAGTCATACAAAGAGCTACAATCCTGTCTTAATATCAACTAATGCTTAATTAAGACTAGAATGCTAAAGTGGTTGGTTCATTCATCTCTGTCTATTCTTTGGTTGAAACTAATATTGCATTTTAACTACGGTATAGTATGGAATAAAACAATGATTATCACTAAACTTTAGAACACTGTTTACTCATTTAAA